TGCATGCCCATAGCGAATTAGAAATCATAGTAATAGTAATGAATAAATAAAATAATTTTACAAAAAGAGAGAAGACCTACTGCGCGTGAGTGTATGCGTGCCTAAAACCCCAAGAGGAGGAGAAGGAACTGCGGAGTGACAACCCCCTGGGGACGAAGGTGCTTTCTCACGTCCTGGCTCTCTCTTCCCTCCCTCTCCAGTGAATCCGCAGATTCTGCAGCACATTCTGAAAAACCAGGCAAAGGCAGAAGTGCAGCCCTGCAGCTGCAGCGTGGTGGGGAAGGAAGCTGGAGCCCATGCCCGACTGCGACTGCGTGGTTCGAATCCCAGCCCCAGTGGCTCCCGAAAGAGCAGAGATGGTGAAGTAAGATCGCAGCGTGACCATCCCCCTAGGGCAGGCTTGCTCTCTCCCTCTCCTGTCTGTCTGTCCGTCTGTCTGTCTGGGAACGGGAGGGCCCCCGGGGCAGTTTAGAGAGCTCCCTGTGACCCTTGGCAGAGCGGAAGCAAGGTGTGAGAGCCGTTTCTGACCCAGGGTCGCCTGTTGGGGGTTTGTCTGTCTCTGTCCTGACCTCCTGCCTCTGCGTCCCAGTTGTAGGCCACCACGGCCAGCTCTTTTCTGGACAGGGATGCGTCATGTCGCCCAGAGCAGCCCGGGGCTCTCGATGGCCCTGTCTCAGTGACCCCACATAGCTGGGATTACAGGTGGGCAGCGCCGCCGTGGTCCTGGGCTCGGACCCAACCCCTGTGCGGCCTCGCCTGGGGAGCACAGAGTGTTAGATGCACCCCACCGAGGCCGGGCCTGGTCGTGTCCTGTTTTCCACCTTAGCGCCACTTGCTGGGGTGTTTTCAGGCTTTACACGTTCAGTTAGTGTTCTTTCTGTATTTTTTGAGAGAGATTTTTGCTATGGGGTGCATGCTCTCTCAGTAGAGACAGAGAGACAGCAAGTGAGCAATCACCCCCGGGGTGATTTCAATCCCTTCTCCTCCACCCTCCTCCTGGAATCTTGGGCATGCACAAACAAGCACCCAGCGTGAGTTTTAAACCGCTGGGTTGGGGCTGGCAGGTGGCGTGGTGGTTAAGTTGCTAGACTCCCACATGGCTGACCGTGGTTCGAGTCCTGGACCCGGCAGCTTGCTTTCTCTCTCTCTCTCTCTGGTCAAATTAAAATAAATAAATAATAAAAATAAAAAGAATAGAGTTAAAATAATTCTTTAAAAAAACAACAAAAAAAACCCCCACTGGGTCCAGGACTCGAATCGCAGTTGGTTATGTGGGAGCCTGGCTGGCCCCTAGAGCTTAAACCTTAATCGGTTTTGTAGATAAGGGTGTTCCTGTTTAGATGCTACAATGTAAGAATGCCCGTCATGGGGCCAGCAGGTGGCATGGAGATGGAGGTGTCGAATTCCACGTGGCCAGCTGCACGGTTTGAGCCCCGGACCCGGCGGCTTGAGAATCATTCCAGGCACGAGAGCGCATGCGACCGAAGTCCTGAGAGGAGAACCAAGGAGAAGGGACTGCGGTGCGACCATCCTCCCCAGGGGGTCATTTCTCACTCCCCCCCCCCCCCCCCCCCCCGTCTCTCTGGCGAGTGCTTGCACCCTATACCAAAAAATATTAAAAATGAAAAGAATGTCTTTCTAGAACAAATCTCCCCCATCTCTCCACCCCCACCAGGATTTGAGGCATGCATGCATCATTATTCACCCAGAGTGTTTCTTAAGCCACCATGGCCAGGATTTGAACCTGGAGGTTAGCCGTGAGGGATGTGGCTCATCTTAACCACCAGGCTACTGGGCCAGTCTTGGGGATCTGGCTTCCTTCAGCATGTTCCAGCTGCATCATGGGGGACCTGTCTTTGCCTTTTCCTCACTTTGGTTCAATATGCTTGTCCTCATCTTGTCGGGTAACAGTCAGAAAGTCGCTTCCTCCAAGAAGCCCTCCTGATCCCACCAGGCTAGACACAGCCTCCCTTGTTCTACCTGTACAATGATACCCTTGTGCATTCTCTCTCTCTCGAACATTCCGAGAGGTTCGTTTTGTGCAAATTTGCGATGTACTCCTCTACCACGCGGTGGGTCTCCTTGGCTGTGTCCCCCAGGAGACAGCTGCTGGTCCACCAATGCCTGGACCTGAGAGGTGGGAGGTGTCGGAGGCGGGAAAACCAGGGGCGAGGCTGGACGCGAGCAAGGCGCAGGTGGCAAGGGCCAGGGCGGCTGGAAAAGCCCCCTGCCCCGAGGCCCCAGGGACAGCTTAGCGACAAAGACATGCAAAACAGTCAGCTGCAGGTTCTCAGTGAGGTCTCTAAGGGCAGAGGGCGGGGTCGCAGGCTGGGGCTCTCGGGGCCTCTGCTAGGCTGAGCCCAGACTCCTGCCGGGCGTGCGAGCCGCTTTGCCTCGCCAGAAAGCTGCGCGTGCTTAGAGACTTCAGGCGCAGGCTCTGCTCAGACGCCTGCTGTTCCAGGCAGCCTCGCCGACCCCTAACCTCGTCTGTCCAACCATCCGGAAAGGGCGGAAGCGCACTTCTCTAAGCCCTTCGGGGAGAGAGCAAGGCTAGGACGCGGTTAGGGCGACTATCGGGCTGGGGCTGAATCCTCAAGAGCTGCTGGGACCTACTGGGCCTTGAGGTAGAGAAAATCAGAAATAACAATTCCGCCTTCGTTAGAACTGAGGTTTTGAATTTTTTTTCCGGTTTGAATTTTGATGTTTTTGCTGCAGGGTGCGTGCACGCACTGGAGACAGACCCAGACAGAGAGAAGGAAAGTGAGAAATCCTCCCCCATCGGGGGGAGTGAGCTACGCTGCAATCCCTTCGCCTCTACTCTCCTCTTGGGATTTTGGGCACGCACGCACCCTGCGTGATTTTCAAGCTGCGAGGTCCAGGACTCGAACCGCTGCCAGCCATGTGAGAATCCAGCGCCTTAACCATCACCCCCTCTGCTGGCCCTCAGTCACGCCCAAAGTTCTCTGAGCTTTCATTTCTTCAGGGGTAAACGAGTTCCCTAAAGCCCAGGACGTGGGGAGGAGAAAGCAAATTAATACAATCTGATAAACGCTCCATAGGTTCCAAAAGGTGCCGCGGAGCGGCATGCAGTGGCGACCGCGGGTCGGCAGGCGTCGCCGCCGAGGGCTCGGCGCCCGCCCGCCGCAGCGGGCGCATGCGCAGCGGAGCCTCCCTGCAGAGGTGAATTTTTTTTTTCTTTTCGCGTTCCCCGCCCTTTCCCCCAGCCTGTGTTTATCACTGCAGACCCTGAGCTCCGTTGTGGCTGCTTGTTCCAGGCGCCTGCTAGTCGTGGGTTTGGGGGTGACTGTGGGGAGAAATCTTTCATCGCCAAGATCTGGTCCCATCCCTGCAGGTGCCGGGTCGCACACTTCCAGGACGGGGTAACCGTGGAGAGAAGGACTTAAATTTTTCTTATCTGTATTAGGATTTTCCAATACGCAAGCCATTCACCGGAAAGCAAATTCGGCCCCTTTTTAAGTGAAAACCTTTGATTTCCATCTCTGGAACGCCCCCGCAGTGCAAGGAAGAAACAGCTGGGAGGTATCTGATACGAACTCAGGGACCCAGCTGCAGGTGCTGGGGCATTTAAATAAAAACATTTAGCAAGGGTGTACAACCGCGTTTCTGCTGAAAACGTGTGCTCCTCCTGCCCCAATGGCGCATACGCTGGCCTTGTAAAATTAACATAAAACGTTTCGGAAACACAAGCAGCTTAATGCCACCCCCTGGCAAGGCTCCTCTGAGCCGGGATCAATCGATATTTGTTACGTGCCTCCTACGTGCCTCAGGCTTCTCCGAGGTTAAATGACGAGGGCAAGCCAGTCATTGGTTACAGAGAGCCAGGCTGTGCAGAGGGCGGGGTGGTCGGGTTTATTTTAGAATCCACACTGAATTTGGATTGCCTTTGCAGACGTACACCTCCTCCTCTCCCAGCCCAGAAAAAAGCACTGCAGTTCAGCTCCTTTTTTACCGAGTGAGGTTAGGTAGAAAAAGATTTCCCGGAAGGGGGATAATTTGCGCCTGCAGAGATCATCCGTCGAAGGTGCACAATGTGCCAAGCATTGAGCTGGACTCTTGATGGAAAATAGAGATACTTAATCAAATGCCAACTCATTCCCTGGAGCCAAAGCTCTGAAATACAACTGTTTCCTAGGGTCAGATTAGGACACAATTGCTAAACAGTGCACGTGCGCCTCCCCCTGGAGAGAAAAAGAAATAGAAAATGCGATTGCCCCGGTAAGCGCTCAGCCAGTCCCTAAAAATAAGTAACTTTCATTAGTAAGGACGATGGTTAACCAAAATAGCTGACATGCGTTGAGCTCTACGTATCAAGCACGATCTTAATCTCTCCACCCAGTTCATGTGTACTTTCTCCCAAACAGTGAGGGACCCCTCAACACTATCCCCCAAAATACACAGGAGGGAACTGTGGTCTACAGAGACCCAAGTGGCTAGTGTTAGAACGCGCTTCGTGCATTTCGGTATCCAGAACGCTCACAACTCCCGCACACAGCGGGCTCTCAATAGCGTATTTGCGGAACAAATGCGTGATTCATACTGGTTTGTACAAAAGCTTTTCATTTGGAATAATGACAGGCAGAGAATTGCAGAAATAGTACACACCGGCCCGGAGGATCCTTCCTTCCTTCCCCCAGCGGTGTCATCTTACATAACGGTGCGAAAACCAGGAAATGGACTTTATTACTACCCACAAGACCTTGTTCTTGTAATATGTTCTTAATAGAAGAGCTGGATACTCTGTAAGCTCATATAGCTGCTGTCGTGTAATAGTTATTCTCAGCTAAAACAGCGCTTTTCGCTGTGTGCACCTGCACATCGCTCGCCGAAGGCGCGCGCCCAGCTCGGAGCCGACCACCGCCCTGAGACTCCGACTCGCCGGCGCCTACAGGGTTAACAGGAGAAGCGCGCCTGTGCGCCTGTGCAGAGCGTCGCTTTGCCCCGCCCCCGCAACGCGATCATGTGAGCCGCCCAACCGGCGTCCGCCTATAAAAGGCCAGGTGTTGACGTCAGCGTTCTCTTCCGCCGTCGTCGCCGCCATCCTTGGCGCGACTTACCTCGCTCGGATCTGCCTGGGAGAATCCACCGCCATCCGCCACCATGGTGAGCGACTCCGTCGTGCTGGAGTCCTGGGACTGCGGCGGGGGCTCTGCGGGGGCGGGGCTGGCGAGTCGGAGGCGCT